CCCCAAAACCCCAAAACCCCGTGATCATGAATTTAAAGTAAGTGTTGAGCTGTTTGTTAAAGTATTGATTTGTGTGATGATTAAACAAACATTAATAAGAAAATCAAATAGCATTAAGTTAAATTAATTTAAATCAATAGACGCTCTAAAATGTCGAACGTCGATTTCAATAAGATGAATGTAGGTTCAAATGCCCTATATTACCATATATTAAATCTTTTCTTTAGATTGATTTTGCAAAGACTGGCAAATAACAGATCTTCTTGCAAGGTAAAATTGATTATTAAATAATATTGAGTTAGATTTCTTTTCAAATTATGAGCAAATCAACAATAATGGACCTGCTTAGAACCTAGAGAATGGCTAAGAGCAGCGATAACTAACTCAAAAAGAATTATAGTAGTTAAAAAGTGAATAGCAAGGTCTTAATTAATTGTTTGGTGGGCTAAATCCTTATCACTTCCTTTATCTTCTGATATTGGGAGCAATAGGAGCTGTCTTGGCATTCACTATAGATGCGACTGTTTTCTTTATCAATTCTCGTATGTTCATTGCAATTCAAATTATATCTAATCTTACAAATGATTATAGACAAAGTGAAGTGGGCTCATGATGAGGATTTCAATTTTTATGGAAGGTACGCTTGCTGGATTGGATTTCATCTATTTTGCATGTTAATTTGTGCTTCAATAGGGTAGCTATTTAGAATATTCTCTAATTATAATCTTTAGAGAGTACATTAGTAGAGACTCTGAGGGATCTGGAGTACCTGAAATGAAGGGAGTCTTGGCAGGAGTGCATTTACATAAATTCCTCGCTATTAATGCCCTAGTAGGAAAATGGGTGGGAATTGTAGCTGCATTATCAGGTGGACTCTCGATGGGAAGATAAGGAGCTTTCGTTCATATGTCATGTGTTGTCTCACATTAACTAGCAACTAAAATAAAGTAAACACTTTTATTGAAATACTCATAATAATCTTTAGACAATTTAAAGATATTGGAAATAACTACTCATTAAGGTTATAGATGTACGGCGCAGCTATCTGCGTAGGGACTGTGGCAACGTTTGGAGCACCAATTGGTGGAGTCATTTTCTCTATGGAATTAACTTCAACTTATTATATGGTTGGTAATCTATGGAAGAGTTTCCTTGCTGGTATGAGCTCTATCATAGTATATCATATGTTGCACTCAATAGGATATATCAAAATCCCTAAGCATACACAATTCTCAGACATTAACATCAATCATGAGATGATATTCTTTGTCATTCTTGGGTTTATCTCAGCTGGAGTTGCCGGACTCTTCAATCACGTCCTCACAAAGCTCATCTTCTTAAGAGTCAGACTAAAGAATCCTTATATTTCAAACAGATGGAAGTGGTGCTGCACTGTGTCATTGTTTATTTCATTCATAGGTTTCCCAATACATTACTTACATTTCAGTGAGAAAAAAGTTCAAGACATGTTTTTCTCTATTCATAATATGGAAACCCTCGTTGATGGAGATACTTGGGGAGATCCATTATAAGTGTTCAATCTTGTTGTTTACTGCATTCTAAAGTTCTTCTTTATCGTGCTGTCAATTAGTTGCCCTATTCCTAATGGTATTTTTGCACCAGTATTCTCTTTAGGAGCTGGTATTGGAAGACTCTATGGCCATATTCTTTTGAAGCTTGGTGAGTAAATTGGAGTTAAGCTTATCTAAAGCGAGGCAATTTATGCTGTTGTTGGAGCTGCTGCTATAGGTGGGACTGTAACTAAGACTGTTTCAACTGTGATTATTGTTTTCGAGTTACTTGGCCAAGTTGACTAAATTATAGTTCCAGTGATGGTTGGATTAATGGTCGGAATGTGGGCTTCTCAAGGAATTTCTATGGGTATTTTCGACGTTGTCATTGAATTTAAAAATTTCCCATATATGCCTTCTCTTGGTAGTGTTGCAGCATATTCTCAAAAAGCCTCAGATATAATGAATAGAACCTTCATGTATCTTTCCAAGGATAGTAAGATTAGAGACCTTCCAGTAGTATTAAACAAGACTCAATAATGCTCTGTCACAATTCCAGTTGTAGAATCAGAAGAGGATAAAACCTTACTCTACACAGTAACTTCAACTTCACTTAGGAAGTATCTCTTTGAGCATTATAGACTGTAAGCATATCATTGTTAATACTTATTTTTAGTGTTGCTTAATTGCTTGATATGCCAGTAAAAAGAGAGATAGACTAATACCTTTATGCATTAACTGAAGTGAATGATAAGAATCCTGCGAACAAGAAAGAAATATCAGTAGATCCACTTATCCATATGATTCATGAAGAATTCTCAAGCTTAGATGAGGAACGTAGAGAAATTATCGAGAGTTTTTGGAATTCACCAGTAAACTTCTCTGATCCCTCCCTCTAGATAAATTCCTCCCCGTTCCTGGTTATGTAAGATACTCCAATGTCAAAGATCCATTTCTTATTCACAATGCTGAATATAAATCTACTCATCGTTCTTAAAAAAGGAGTAATCAAGGGTATTATTACAAAGTTAGAATTCATTTAAAAGAGAAAGTCAGCTGTTGTTCAGATTGAGCAAGATAAAAAGAAGCAAAGAAGATAGAAAAGAATGATAGAGATGGGTAGAAGGCTTTGATTGCTTCATAGACTTTATTAGGATTTAGACATTTTGTGCTTAATATAGCAAATCTTAATTTTCATTCTTCATTATCAATTAATTCAAAGAAAAGTGGGGTTTTGGGGTTTTGGGGTTTTGGGG